CTGAGTATGAGTAAGTCTGAGTATGAGGAAGGGAGGAGGAAAGAGGAGGAAGGAGGAGGAGTAGGAGGCGTCCAAGTAATTACTCACTACGTGGAGCTCCCCATATGTGCATCCTTTTTTAAAGGTAATATTGTTTATGGGTCTACAGGAACACACGTAAAACACCAAGGACTCGTGCCCCAGGAGAGGCCCAATATATAGGAACAAAAGTAAAACAAGTAGGATTGCTTACACAGGAGAAGGACAATATATAGAAACATACGTAGAACAGCAAAGAATCGTGCTCCACGTGAGGCCCAATCGATAGGAGCATACGTAAAACACATGGGATTGGAGCCACTCCTGTTGCCTTCTGAGGCCTCCTGCTCCTGGGGCCTCTCGGGGCCTCCTGTTGCCTTCCGAGGCCTCCTGGCACTTCCTGTTGCCTCCTGGGGCCACCTGTGGTTTCCGGAGGCCTTCTGGAGCTTCCTGGGGCCTCCTGGAGCCTCTTGGGACATCCTGTGGCCTCTTGAATCTTTCTGTGGCCTCCTGATGCCTCCTGGGACCTCATGTGGTCTCCTGGGGCCTCCTGGAGCCTCCTGTGGCATCCTGAGAAGAATCTGCGCCCACGAGCCTGGCCACCAAAACAGGCAAACCGAAGGAGACATCCTCAAAATCTGGCCCACCTGGGGGGTGAAAATGAGCGCCTCGCTCGAGACATCCTCCAAATTTGCTCCGAAAGCGAAGGATGTTGAACCCAGAAACAAGCAAACCGCCTGAGACATCCCCACAAAATGGCCGCGAACGAGCCCGTGCAAACACCCCTGGCGGCTCCCCTTAGGGCCACGAGCCTGGCCACCAAAACAAGCAAACCGATCGAGACATCCTCAAAATCTGGCCCACCTGGGAGGTGAAAATGAGCGCCTCGCTCGAGACATCCTCCAATCTGCTCCGAAAGCGAAAGATGTTGAGCCCAGAAACAAGCAAACCGCCTGAGACATCCCCACAAAATGGCCGCGAACGAGCCCGTGCAACCACCCCTGGCGGCTCCCCTTAGGGCCACGAGCCTGGCCACCAAAACAAGCAAACCGATCGAGACATCCTCAAAATCTGGCCCACCTGGGGGGTGAAAATGAGCGCCTCGCTCGAGACATCCTCCAAATCTGCTCCGAAAGCGAAGGATGTTGGGCACAGAAACAGGCAAACCGCCTGAGACATCCCCACAAAATGGCCGCGAACGAGCCCGTGCAACCACCCCTGGCGGCTCCCCTTAGGGCCACGAGCCTGGCCACCAAAACAAGCAAACCGATCGAGACATCCTCAAAATCTGGCCCACCTGGAGGGTGAAAATGAGCGCCTCGCTCGAGACATCCTCCAAATCTGCTCCGAAAGCGAAAGATGTTGAGCCCAGAAACAAGCAAACAGCTTGAGACATCCCCACAAAATGGCCGCGAACGAGCCCGTGCAAACACCCTTGGCGGCTCCCCTTAGGGGTGCTGAAACCAGCGCCCCGCCTGAGACATCCTCACAATCTGCTCTCCAAGCGAAGGATGTTGAGCCCAGAAACAAGCAAACCGCCTGAGACATCCCCACAAAATGGCCGCGAACGAGCCCGTGCAAACACCCCTGGCGGCTCCCCTTAGGGTGCTGAAACCAGCGCCCCGCTTGAGACATCCTCCAAATCTGATGTGTGTTGAGTAAGTCTGAGTATGTGTAGGTCTGAGTATGAGTATGCCTGAGTATCAGTAAGTCTGTGTATGAGTAAGTCTGTGTATGAGTAAGTCTGGGTATGAGTAGGTCTGTGTATGAGAGAGTTCTGGGTATGAGTAAGTCTGAGTATGAGTAAGTCTGAGTATGAGGAGGGGAGGAGGAAAGAGGAGGAAGGAGAAGGAGTAGGAGGCGTCCAAGTAATAACAATAACCCCATCTTAGGATATGGGGAATAACAAGAAACCCATCTTAGGATATGGGGAACAACTACTACTACTACTACTACTATTATTACTACTACTACTACTACTACTACTACTACTACTACTACTACTACTACTACTACTACTACTACTACTACTACTACTACTACTACTACTACTACTACTACTACTACACTACTACGACTACTACGACTACTACTACTACTACTACTACTACTACTACTACTACTACTGCTACTACTACTACTACTAATACTACTACTACTACTACTACTACTACTACTACTACTACTACTACTACTACTACTATGGTCATACTAGTACTACTACGAGAAGTACGAACGTTTCCGACTACTACTACGACTACTACTACTACTACTACTACTACTACTACTACTACTACTACTACTACTACTACTACTACTACTACTACTACTACTACTACTACTACTACTACTACTACTACTACTACTACTACTACTACTACTACTGCTACTACTAGTACTACTACGGACTACTACGACTACTTTTCCTACTACTACCTACTACTGACTACTACTACGACTACTACTTACTGACTGCTACTAC